GGAAACATGTCTGTCCCCTTCCCGGGAAGTCCGTGGGGTTTACACACAAGGCCACACAGGACAGCAGCCTGGGGCCTGCAGGGGGCTAGTTCTGACCCACAGCTTTGCCTTTCAAAGGCAAGAACTCAGAGGCCCAGAGAAGGCCAGCAACTTGTGTGTGCTCACCCAAGGAGCTGGACGCCAGCTCCTGCCACCCCTCTCCTGGGGCAGCTCAGGAGGCCTCTCTCAGACCTGGCTGTGTTGCTTCTTCAGCCAAGGCCCTGTGGTCTTCACCAGGCACTGTCCCTAGGGAGACTCACCACTGGCCTCGTGGTCAGCTAGAGCTTTCCTGTGCTGTCCAGTCTGCCTTGGGTCAACGGCTCTGCTTCTCTGGGCCTCCGTGTCCTATTCTGTAAAATGAGTGTAATGATACAATCTACCTCACGTGGTTGTTAGGAGGATTTGGTGAATTAATAGCATGCAAAGTTCTCAGAACTGTTGGGGGTGGAAGGAAGAGAGAGGGGGGTTCTGCGTGAACTGGCTGCTGCCACTGTTATTTTTTAGTATTGTTGGCATCGGCATCCCCCCGAGCTCTGGTTTTGTGTTGGCGTCCTGAGGGGAATCAGCCCTTTCCTGCCCTTAAGGAGCTCCCTGTCTGATGTAGAATGAAAAGACCCAGGAAGGCCTCACATTCTGTCCTGAGGCCTTTGGCCCTGGCTGGGTGGCCTCGAGTAGACACACATGGCCTCTCCGGGGCTTTTGCTCTCTAGCCTGACTCTCACCCAAATCCTCCCGCCCTGACCGGGGCAGGAGCAGGAAGCCTGGGCTGGAGGGTCCTCACAGGCCCTTGGTGTGGGTGTGGCTACTTCAAGGTCCCCAGCCCTGCCCCGCTCCTGATTCTGGCAGGTCGGCCTCTAAGAGTGGGAGCAGGTAGGACGTGGCCCGCTGGGAGCGCCAGACGTCCCCGCTCAGAGAGACCACTAGGGTCCCAGGCCCTGCCCCTCCCGCGGCTCAGTTTCTTATTCTGTGTGCTGGGGCATGGCCCCCAGGACCCTGGAGATGGCAGTTTCCAAACCAGGCGTGGCATCCCTGGCGTGGGGCTGGGCGTCTGCAAGTTGACACCAACCCAGGCTCGTGGGAGCCGAGTCAGATACACGGGGCTCAGAGCCCAGTCTGCAGGGGCCCTCAGGTAGCTCACCCCTCTCTCCCCGTCTGCCCTTCCTCCCCCTCCCTCCTCCCTTCCTTCTCTCCCTCCCCTCTCCCTCCCCTCTCCCTCCCTCCCTTCTTTCCATCTTTCCATGAAGTCGCCACTGCTCTGTCGGGCCTCAGTGACCACCTCCAGTGACGGGGCCAGTGACGTGTCTGACCAGAGCCCAGGCTTTTCCCCGAAGTATCTGGGGGCTGGCAGACTTCGCCCAGAGGCTGTGACTTGCACCCAGGTGGCAGGGAGGGCTGTCCACTGGAGTCTGGTGCTACCAGGACCCCTTTAAAATGTCCTCCTGCTCCGGTGTCAACAATTAAACATAAAATACATTAAAACGTCCATCTGGCATTCCTAGCCCTTGTGGCCTGTTTCCCATGGGCTGTTTGGGAACCTGGGGTTTTTCTTTTATGAATCATTTAGCACGTGCCAGTCTGGAAACCAGAGTTGCAGACCCAAGGGGAGCCTCAGGGAGCGGGTGCAGCCCCTTGTTCTACTGCTGGGGATGGTGCAGCCCAGAGACAGCCTGGGCCCTGAACTCAGCCTCCTCCTGGCCTCCTCTGAGGCCAGGAAGCAGTCACGGAGGAAGCGAACTCTGCACCACTGGGCAGGTTATTTCATCTTTCTGTGCTTCAGTTTCCTCATCTGTAATATGGGACTGATAAAACCTGCCCGTAGGGTCACTGTGAGCATTAAGCACGGTACTTGGGAGACGCTGGACCTGTGCCCTCGGCAGTGGCTGTCAGGACTTTATTATCGGTGTTTCCTCACCGCACAGGCCAATGGGCATCTCCCCAGGGAGGCCGGGGCACCTGGGGCAGGCCAGGGGGCAGTGGACCCTCCTGCCTCATCTCTGAAATGCCCCTGCAACCCTCTCCACGTGTTTCCACACAGAGCCCTCAGGATTGCCCTCGGACCCTGCCCTCACCCCTGGCTCCAGTGCCTACAGGCAGTTCCCAGACCATCCTGGTGCCTCTGGCCAACGCCGCCTTCTTCCAAGTAAGTAGAGACCAGGCCAGACCCATTGGGCGCGAGGGGAGCCTGGGGGCAGGCAGGCTAGTAACTCCCCTCCTGCCGGCAGGCGACCCCTGCTTTGGCTGCCCCGGGCTGGGGAAAGGGACCTGGTGGTGAGGGCCGGACCAACGGGCACAGCCGGTGGCAACAGCTGTTGAGGGAAACCCGGGCCAGCGCCCCAGAGTCGCGACCCTCAGGTTCCCCTTGCCCAGCACTGCTCCCGTGTGTGGACACTGTCATGTTGTGCCCCCTCTGCTCGCCCCAGACACACCCACCCGGGGTCAGGGCTGGTTCTGGGCAGTTGGTGGCTTTCTGGTCCCCCTGGAAGCGGCCACAGAACTCCTTTGTCCAGATGGGGGAAATGAGACCCAGGAAGTCAGTGACCCCGGGTCACACAGCATAGGGCTGGACCTGTCCTGAACCCCGGACTCCTGGTCCAGTGCTCTTCCCTGCAACCAGACCCACCCCATCTGGGCTGGGGGAGGGGTGCAGCCCCTTTCTGGGCCCCTCCTGGAGGAGCGTCCTGGGTGGAAAGCGTTGACAAGTTCTGGAGGTGTGCCAGCCACCCCTCCCCAGCTCCCTGGCATTCACCATCTGTCACTTCCACGGAGGAGCTGGGGCCCGCGAGGGCTGTCACACGTGGGGGCCACGTGCCAGGCATCTGGGATGTGTCAGGAAGCCTCGTGGCAGGGGCTGGTGCTCTGGGAGGGCCAGGGACGGCAAGGGCCTCCGGCAACAGCAACGGGCCTGGGCGGGTGGGGATGGCGTTTCTGCACCCTGGCTGCGGGAGCCTGGACGGGAGGCCTGAGCCATATCCGAGTCCTGACTGATTCTTTCCAGCTGTGTAAGGGGGCACATCTCCGCTCTCGCCGAGCTGCCGGGATCCCTGTCCTCCTGCCCCCTGCCTGCTTCTACAACACTGAGAGTAGGCCCAGGGTGGGGCCCAGGCTCTGCAGCAGTCCTGCTTGCTGAGTCTGAGCCCTGGGGAGCCCAGGACAGGCTGGGTCGGCTGTCCCGAGGAGGCTGAGAACAGAGGTCAGACTCATCTCCAGCTTAGCTCAGCAGGGGGTACAGCAGGCTTTTGGCCCTGTCAGCAGCCACTGGTCTGTATTTGTTTCCGGGGTGGGACCCCAGAAAGGAGGAGGTTGACCTGCTTTCACCTCAGGGTGTCACATCTGCTAATGACAGGGACATAAACAGGAAGTCCTGCCACATGGCTGGCTGGGGGCTTGGCCTAACACTTGAAACCTGAGTTTGTTCACTCAGCAAATATTTACTGATGCTGCTCCTGGGAGGGCAAGATGAGACTAGGGAATTGAGCCCTGATTATTTACTCAGCCAAAATTTATGGAACACCTCCTGCGTACTATAATAACAATGCTATTGTTATATTATATACTGTAATAATAATAGCAAGCACATGTTAGACACCTACAGTGTGCAGCCCACTAGATACATGCTCTCCAGTTTCCCAGCAACCCTGCAAGGTAGGGAAGCCTATTTCTGTTGTGCAGTTAAGAAAATCAAGGCTCAGAGAAGTAGAGCAACTTGCCTAAGATTTCACAGCTAGAAGTAGCAGAGGTGGGATGTGAACCCAGGCCTGAGTGAGGTGGAACCTGAGTTCTCCCAATGGCTTTCTGCTGCCCTGGGGATGGGTATCCAAAGGACCAAGGCCCAGTCCCGACCCTCCCCAGTGGGTAAGAAGATAGGTGTAAACAGCTGGGCTAATGGGAGACCTGACACCGGGGGAGGGCGGGTTTTGGAGCTTCCTGGAGCCCCCAGCACACACCCAGATGGTCACTGCCGAGAGAATGAATGAGGACCAAGTGAGGGCACCCCTCCAAGTTGAGAGGAGCATCTGGGATGGCTTGGGCCATGCGACATCTGAGCCGCATTTTGAAGGCCAGGTGGAGCTTTGCAGGGAGCCAGCTGTTCACTTACAGGAGTGGGCTGGGGCGAGACCCAGGGCAGGGCAGCCTGGGCTGTGTTGTGGCACGTCTGGGGCGTGGCCTTGCAGGGCAGAGGTGGCCTGTGCAGGTGAAGGAGCAGGTGGAGACTCACGGGCACTGGGGCCGTGAGGGCGGAGAGAGGCGCCCGGTTTAGGCCATCTGGGGATGTTGGAGAGGCTGTCAGTACAGAAAACACGGGGCCGGGTTCCAGGTGTTTGTGCTCTCCTTGCTTCCTTCAACTCCGGGACAAGACGGCCAGGAAGGGAATTCTGGGGGACAGTATAGCACAGGCGAAGGCCTGACAGGTGGACCAGGCCCCCCCTTTCAGGATAGCAGTCTATGACGTCTGGTGGAGATAAGCACGATGGGTGCTGGCCTGGCTCTCCTCAAGCTCCCTTCCCCCCCCGCTGTTCTCCCCAGGGTGCAGCCCTGGAGTGCAGCTTTGGGCTGGAGGAGGTCTTTGAGGCTATGTGGGTGAACGAGTCCGTCGTGCGCTGCAACCACGTCGTGGTAAGCGGTGTG